TAAAACTTTTATAAATTAATATATATTTTTATCTAAAGATCTTAGTCAGTTTCATTAATTACCATTTTATTTCGTTATGGTATACAGAAATAAATAAATTTATTAGGTATAAAATATACTTTAATACAATATTTTTAGGGCCGAATCTGTTAATTTATTCTGTTTAAATCTATCCAAAACTGATGGATTAATATCAAAATGAAGAGTTGAAACAGTTACTTACAATTTTGTTTCATTAGCATTTTACAATTCATGATTTGCATCTCAATAAGATGCACTACAAAATTTCATTTATTCCCCTTTCAAATAATGAAATAAATTCAAACAGATGCCATTTTGAAAATGGTGCATGAATGGAAACAAATTTCTATACAATTTCAATTTTGACAATTGTACTGTACGTTAAACCTTCCTAATCTTAATAATTTCGAGTTTTACATTCTATGAGTACGTTCGTTTGTTTGCACGTCTATTCAAAAGTAATCATCTTCTATTTCCTCTATGGAAAGCCCCATACAAATGAAAAAAAATCATGCGATATTCTCGAAACACCGAAAATAAAATAATAACGAAGTAAATTTTTATGATCTAAATTTTGATAGTAACACATTATACTTGCAAATTAGCATACAATTAGATAAATAAATTATAAATTATACCGAGTAAAGTAAATATAAAACAGTATACTATCTACTCGAGAATGGTTAAGTAGATGAAATAAATATTACGTTAATTAATTTTATTGAAAAGTATAAAACAAACAAATAAGATAAATAAATTCTAAACGTATTTAGAGAAAAATAATAAAATTCAAAACAAAATAAAAGAAAGAAAGAAAAGATTGTTTGCTGTCGAAGAAAAATAAGTTCTAAATAACATGTCAAATAATAAACAGGCATCAAATAGGAGAAGTAAAATGGCCGCTTCACAAAAATATCTAAAAAAATTAATCTTTTCCTTCAAATAGACCATATTTATTCTTTTAACTTTATGTTTAGAGCCAGCAATTGCAATTGAAATTTTCTTTCGTGAATTTATCTTTATTCTTCAAATAGTGTTTTTTTTAACATCAAACTAAAAAATAGTGCAAATTTAAAAATCTCCAACAAAATAATTTTTTTTATTTAAAAATAAAGAATATGCTATTATTTCTTTTAAACTTCTAACATTCACTTTTAAATTAATTATGTTATTTAGAAAACTAGAAACTTCAAAGTGTATTAATTAAAGTATTATAATTAATACAATACCATAGCAAGGGAATGAATTTAATGAGAATTTAGTAATATAAATCTAGAATAATTTTATTAAAAAATATATAAAATTTCTTCTCGTTCTATTACATGTTTAAATGCTATTAATTGTACTGTATATAGTATAGGCGAGAAATTATATATATTCTACAATGCGACTAATTCCACGTATAAATGTAACATTGTGTATTTGATGTATAGAATTATTGACAAGTTTAGACATTAAATACATTTTTAAGATAAAGTTGTAAATTGTATAAATAAAAAAAAGAATAACTTATTCGAGAAAAATCAGAGCTTTATCTTTTATTCATTTAAATGTGTTATATAACAATTGCGATGAATATATGCACTATTATTATTTAATAATTCAAAGCAAACTACGAAATTTAACTTGAAATCTTAAAGCTCTTTCTGAAGAAAACGTTTATTTTTATAAATTCTCCTTTACAAAATGATTTATTGTTTTTATAAATTTAAACCTTACTTTTTAAAGTTACATGGTGTTATATATATATATATATTTGTACAGTTCAAATTTCTTAAAAAGAAAGACTCATCTTCAGAGGACCAAAATTCTTTCCAATTTTATAGAGAGAAAAATACTCTAAGGAACCAATTTTTATATCAAATTCTCTCCAGCAACCTAATTTCTTATGTCAAGAGAAGTCTAAATTTAACTCTTTTCAAAAGCTAGTAGCAAAGAAAAAAATAAATAAAGGAAGAAAACTCATTTTAAAAACTGATTATAAGTACTTCTACACCATCTTGTTATTCCTTTAATAGTATTAAAGATTCAAAAATCATGTTAGAGAAAGAAAGAATAGCAAAAATCATTTTAAAAAAAACAACAAATTCTGCGTTAATATATTAAAAATTATTACAATAAAACTATATTTCGAGATTGTAATATCACATCAACACTTTTTATTATCATAATAGTATTATAGTCTGTGAAATCGATAGAACATACCTCTTATCAATTTTTTACCTGTATAATAAAATAAATAAAAAATTGTTATCTGCGGGATAAAAGCTCTTTTCTGGTGTGCAATTCTTCTATTATTAATTCAAGAAATTTCGAGTGAAAAAAAAATAAAGTAAAATATCAGCTATACACTTTCTATTTCATTATTCCTTTAATAGTATTAAAAGACTCGATGTCCTAACACTAGTAGATATACGCCTGTTTTTCTATCTTTCATCTAGTCAGAGTAAAACCTTTATAAACTAATTTTTTTTTCTATCATGTTTGAATTCCTTGTAGAATATCATTCCAGAAGGCTAAGGGAAACCGATGCTGATTGCTGTATTTCCTTATATTAAATTCTACATGTACTTCCTGAATGACACAACATGAATAGAGAAACGGTCTACGACAGGATGCTATACAATATCTTCTTCCTTTGTTATGATTCTCGAAGGAGACATTGAATGCACCTTAATCTTCTCGATCCCCCTTATCCTATATTCGATTTTGAGTTTTTACACTCGTATGGTGCATGAGTTAATTTACTTCCCCCTTCTTCTATTATATACAATATCATATATTTAATCAATAATTGTTTTTTTTTCCTGCAATGCAATTAATTGTGAAAATTGATTCCATCTATCGTACCGTTAATAGCAAATTCAAGAAATTGCATCGATTTTCTCTCATTAACTTGAGGAAGATTACTCGAGTGATTGCATATTTTATCAAAATTTATCGTTCCCAACAATAAATGTACGATTTCCTGTTTAGCAAAGTATTTCTGTGTGTCTGTCTGTAAATTAAATCCATCTTAAGCTATGAACTGCTACGTTTATCTGGATAAAATTTAGTACATAAATTTGGGCTCTTCTAACAGTCTGTAACGATTTAAAATGAGATCATATATATCAGAGTAAAATAATTAAATTGTTTAATTTAATAATACATATAAATTACTGCTTTATGTGGTTTATACTATTATTATTATAATTATTTTCTTGAAATTTACTGTTAAAAACATTCTAAAATTTAATTCAAATTCCTTTTATAATTATCATTTCGAATAAAACGAATGAATAAAATAATTTGTATTAATAAAAAAGTTAAAATTTTAAAATTAATTCTTAATTAAAAATGTACTAGGAATTTAAAATTTTTTTTTAACTTGTTAAAATAAGAAAAATATTTTATACATTGAGAAGATTTAATCATTAAGATTTTTTTAATTTATGAAGTTTCAAAATTTTTAATTTAAAAAGTAATGTATTACACTTGTTATCCACAAAACACTACATATTTTTGTTTTTTAAATTGGACAGCAAACCGACTTTTTCATTTTTAATTTAAAAAAATCTCACACGGAAAAACCATTTTGTTAAAATATATATATATATATATTTATATATATACAAATAATACATTCTACATTTGTTCGTCAAAACATAAATTTATATAATGTACTTCTCTTTATCCTCGCAGCATTGATATTCTTTACTAATATATATTTTAACTTCAAACTGTCCAGAAACATTTGCTTCAATCAATAAATCTTGTCTTTACGTTGTAGTCGAATGCGAAGGCGAGTATGAGTGCAAGTCGAACTCTTTACCAAAACGACTATTTTGTTTCAAATGCGTTATGATTGTTCCGTCTTTCCCGTTCTTGTTAGAAAATTGAATTTTTTTTCCTCTTTTCTACCGAGTTTTACTTCTTTTTTTCGCTATTGGAAACTAATATATATCTACGTTATAAATAAATATAGAGAATTAGCTGTGTTACTCCGCTCGATCTTTATTATTCGTAAATATTTTTTTGTAGTAACTTTTCTAGATTCTCTAGAATAAAAAAAAATAAAAATAACTTCCTCTCATTTTTATAAGTTAAGAAATTTTTCTCAGATGACGAAACAAAGAAATTCTCGCCACATTTTCTTAATTTTTTTTATTGTTATTTAATTGAACATGGTTTTTTTTTCTTATAAATTTCGTGAAAAATTTTTGAAGAAGCGCAGAAATTTATAGAAAGTGGCGAAGAAAGAAAGTTAAGAGGATCAACTCTTTCAAGAACCAAAGATGAACATCAACTTGATATAAAAACGAGATTTATAACTTGACAATCTGAGCTAATTCCTTAAGAGACAGATATAAAATTTTTTTTTTTAAATATTGTATATATATATTTTTTTTTTCAAATAATAAATTAAACATAGTATAAAATGGAGTTTTAAAAAATCTAGTTTAAGAATTAGTTTTTAAATACACGTCACTCATAGAAAATTGCTTCCAGCTATAAATAAAACAATCCTACGTATAAAAAGAAACAAAAAAATATATATAAAATATTTCGATCAATATAGGAATAGGAAAATATTTCTATTTAAGATTATTTCCATTGGACGACACATGACAGACATCAAGAAAAGCAATCGTGCTATCACGTTGGTCCTGTCATGTGTTACTCCTCTTATATATATAGGCTACTCGCTATATTGATAAAAGGAAATGTCAACAACTTAAACGAAGCTTAACTCTTTTTCGATAAGAATGTGATCTCTATTATATATATATATATATATATATNAAATATATATATATTTTTTTCAATATAATATCTCAATTTTTTAGTATTGAAATTGCTTTAAAATGCCATAGAGATGTATGCTTTTACACTCTCAAGAGCATCAGAAGTTACCGCACAGATTACACACGAACGTGTAATAAATAAAAGTGAAAAAAAGAAACAAATAAATAGAAAAAAATCGATATTATCTTTCACTAACATTTATTTTCACTATATTCTAATTTACATCCAAAGTTTTAAACAGATATAAATAAGTGCTAACATGCGTACGATAGGCTTTATTTGATCGGAAGAGGAGCATGTATTGGAACCAAAAGTGTAAGTAGCGCAATGTTCATACATTAATGGACCGGATATCCTGTCGAGATGTTTTTGTTGAAATTCAGCTGCATCGGAACCACAGTCTTTGGAGACGTGATGATACTTGCAAAGAACGAACTCGTTGAAGGCACTGAAAGGAAAAGGTTAAAAAAAAGAAAAAGAAAAAAAGTGTCAATCAGAATCATCGATTATTCTTCTTTTCCCATGAATAAAAGTTTTTTATTATTGTATAGAGATGATGATAAATTTTTAAAATTCTCTCAATTCTGGTATTTTTCTTTGAAAATAAAATGTTAAAAATTGCGATTTCGATAAAAAATATTCCGATAACATTTACGTTGAGTAATAGTCCCGTAATGATTTCTCATTCTGCTTTATTTCTGCTTTGAATTTATTCTTTTATATATATCTAGAAATTACAAATTTATTCCCTATTTTAAAATTTAAATCTTATAAATATTAAAATTGGTACGTGCTTCTATAGTAACAATTGCAGTACAATATATTTTATGTTAATACGCTGCTTTAATAATAATAGTAATGCATATTTTTCGTATAAAATTTGCTTATTTACAAGAAGCATGTAAATAATAATTTAAAATGATACATAAAATGTTTATATATAAAAGAAGCTGTGTTATTATATATAAATAATTTGGTATGCACATTTAAATGAATCACTAAATTATTAATCACAACTCTAGTTCCTTGCGTAAATCAATGCATTAATTGATTCAGGCTTCTCAATGATCTTTTACGATAATAACTTGCAAATATTTTAAAAATTTAAATGAGCAACAACACAAAAAAAAATTTAAATAAAATCGAATTTTTCCAATTAGATAAACGAAGATAACAAATCAGGATTAAAAGTAATTCTTACCAACAGGATTTTCTTAATCCTTCTTCCACGTCTTCTTCTTTGTTCACATTTTCTGATAATTCCAACACATGTCGATATATAGGAGCGCATTTATCTTCAGATAATGATATGTTTATAAAACACGGTGCGTGACGGAGATAAGCTGCAAAAAAAAAAACAAAAGAAAACTTTTCTTTACTTAAATATTGTACACGCATTTTTTTATATTTATAAAATATCGAAAATTATTTAACAGTTTTAATTGTTATCATTAAAAAATAAAAAATATAACAAATTTCGTTCTTTTATTTTAATAGCAATTTTTAATAAGCAGTACATATATTTACTTATACACGGTTAATAATTTCGAACTTTTTTTATTATGATAAACGATAATCGATACAGTGCACACGAATTTTGCTAAGAGATGTTTTTGATCCGCAAACAAACTTTTTTTTTAGACTTTTTCCTTGATAACATCTTTTTTAAAAACAAATAATCTGATCTTCCTCTTCTTTTCTTAACACAATTCAACGTTTCATTTGTAATTAATCGATTTTTCCCTTCTAACGATTAATCGCAATAGAAAAAAGCGATTAATAATTCAATATCATTTATTGCATAATTCAACATTTATCAATCGATTATTAAAAATAATTAATCGATTTTTTTACTTGAAATAGAAATTAAATTTTACAAATCATAAAAATCGATTACAAATTGTAATATACATCACTTACAAATTAATCGATTTCTTCCTTGTTTAATTTAATTAATTAGATTAATTATAAGAAATTGATTAATCGGAAAAATTAATCAATCGATTTCTTCCTTAAACAAGAAAGAATTTGATTAATTAGTAAATGATGTACTTTACAATATTTTAATTCGATTTATGATTGTTACACTAGTTTCTAATTCCAGGAAAATCGATTAATTATTTATATATCGATATCCTTCTCGGGGAAAGAACATATTGTAAAAATTCATGTTACGAAGATATGTTCAACCTATTCAAAATGCACGTGTTTAGACACTGAATCGCGTGTTACGATAATTAAAAATGAAAGCTACTTTGAACCTTTCATGTAATTTTTTTTTCCAGGAGATCATAAACAAACAATTAATTAATAAAATGCAATTATGTTAAGAGTAGCGAAAGGAAAAATGACAGAAAAATAAAACTACAAGTGTTCTCACATTTCTCTTATTATTCTATTTATTTGATTAAAATTTACTAATGTTGAAATTCAATTAATTATCTCGTTATGTTTTGTAATTCTCTTTATTGTAACGTTTATTTCCAGTTAACGTGAATAATAATTGTAACTTGAGATAGTAATAATGAAAGTTAATTTAAATATTAAATGTAATAATATTTCAAAGTTTAAATTGAGCTTCTCGGTGTTAATAATAATAATTAATAAAATAACATTCAAAAATCATTATAATTATTGTTTATTTTTTTATAATTGAAAATATATTATAATAATTTAATTTTATCCTGTTTTATCAGAGGTAAATTTTTAAAAATTAATTTTAATTTTATTGTATTAAACCGATTCTACACAATTCATTTTCTGATCAATAAAATTAAAATGAAAGAAAGAAAAAAAACAATATAATAAATTGCCAGAAAAAAGTTTTGGTAGAAATAATAATGACTAAAAAAGAAAATTTCTTTTATATCACATAAAAGAATGACTATTTCTTGCAAGAATATTTTGTCAAAGTCACATAAAAAAATCCTTACAAGCCACATTTGTCAGTAGAACAAGTATAGAGTTAGAGTCTTTTCATCTGACTAACATTATTCTATACCTGTCAAGGTAAGATAAGTCATTGTACCTTCTTGTATCGGTCCGGGAACACACAGATCATCTTTCACTTGTCGAGCTTCTGCAACCACATGATTGAAAACCTGTGCTTGGGTAGCAGTAAAGCATCTCTTGATGTACTCGTCAACGCAGCTGATGCTCTCCTGCATATCGCTATATAAACAAGAAAAATTATCTTATAAATTCTGCTTTTATGTCTTTCTATAACTTATTTCATCTAAACTTTATCCTACGATAAGTTAACCCAGCTTATATACTCATCAAAATGATTCTGTGGATGCGTAGAAATGAATTTAACACATTTTTCGTTTCGGTTCTTAATCCATAAACATTAAAACTCTTATTTATAGCTTATAAACGACTTAAATTAAATAAATTAAAAATATGATTACAAATTGCAGCCCACCATTTGACGGGTTGCAATAAATAATTGCTCATATTATTATTTTCACATTTCATGTAGAATGTAGCAATAATTTCCCATTAATTTTAGTATTAAAATTTTGTGACATTAAAAATGCAAGTTAAAATATTCAGTATAAGAAACATGAAAACGTCTGAAAGTCGTGTCGTTTAAAAAAAGTAAAAATGTTAATCATTCCGAATATTTTATCTCAATTTACAGGCATTTCAAAATTGAATTCATTAAAAAAAAAAACAATCTTATAAAAATTTATTCATTTTCTAGTTTGCAATTTATTTTAGTTTCTTTTTAAAAATTCCAGTGATAGCTCTCAATTTTAATGTTATATGATATTCGTGAGTTATTTAAATTATTTTACATATCAGTAATTACTAGAACTTTCGAAAAATTTTTAAAAGTTCATAATTTCGGGCTTTTTACATTAGAGCTAACCTCTGTAATGTGATACTTTAAGTGACACGAAATACACGATTAAGATCAACAATTGTAATAAACCTGATATTGTTTCATGTATTATCTAATACTGTAGAAAAGACATTACGCTTTAAACCTTGACTTAATAATTTCGCTGATTTACTCTCGTGTGATCTTTTACCTATGTAAATTCAAAGGAATTTGTGTTAATACTTTATGTAATAAAGCAATAATTTTTAATATTCACATTTCATCTGAATGTATGCTATTTCGTTTCTTCAACAAACATTAATTTTGGTATAAAAATGTAAAAATTCCATACGTTTCTAATTTGATAAATTATGTTTTTTATTCTTACAAATTGAGAGATATTAAAATATTTACTAATTAATTTTAAAAAAGCTTTTCCTATTAAAAAAATGATTTTAATATGCAGTTTTAATTAGAATAATGTGCATTACAATAGAAATCGCGCATAACACGCACTTTTTAGTAACTTAAAGTTGAATAATTTGTTTGAAAGTTAAAATTCTATATTATTAATTATTTTAGAATCTATTTTTAACATTAAAATTCAAATTTATTTCCTATTTAATTAGCACGTATAGTTTCATAATTAATGAACAAATTGTTTTGTGAAGGTATTCAACAAACCTTTTTAAAAATGTATCCATTGAGTAATGTCTTCATTAATATTGAAGTGTTTTGCATTAAGAAATTATTTAAAAGCAAGTGTTTATACTTGTAAGCGTGATGCATCGTAGAAAACACGAAAAAACTCGTGCCAACTAGTTTCTTTCACGTAATCATCATGGAAACTACGTGTTTATCGCGTGAAGGTTCTCGATGTTTGAATCTTTTTTTTTCCACCTTGAAGCACGCTCGACGTTTGAAAAATCGAGTTTAAACTCTACATGTGATTTCATCTGTATGCATTAACTCAAAAAGAAATAAATCTACATAATGTTAAAAAAGCAGTTTAATTTAAGAAGAGAAATTCACCTGCAAACTTTAACCAGGTCTTCTTTTGTGGTACCAAAAACCAGATCATTACTTTGTGTCAAAGAGTGCAAAGCTTGTAAGCATTGACGAAACTCGTCGAAAGAGCAAGACGTTTCTGTCGATGTCGTCGAAACTACGAACAAATAACAATTATTATAAAAATCATTCTTATAGTAATTAGTAATTTAAATTAAGGATTTCGTCTAAAGTTTATTAATCTTATAAAATAATTTTAAATAATTGTATCAGCTTTCTTTCTAAGTATAATTAAATACTCAATACTTCAATAAACATAGATAATTTACAGTAACTGGATTAAAGAAAATTAGTCCTTCTATTGAATATAGAGATTTAAAATGTAGCTACAGGTTTAATATAATTGGTAATTTCGTAAAATTCATTATAATTTGTCAGATTTAGTCGAAAACATTTTCTGTATTGTTAAAAATAATCTCCAATTATTTACAAAACTTTTTGCCATCACACTATTGAAGGCGTTGATACCACAAGTTCTTCGTACATTGAAGATAAATCGTTGAAGCATTTTGAAATTCAAATTATGTTTTACTTGTACAGTACTTTGTTTTTAACTCAACAGCAGAAAAATAGTCACAGAGCATGATAATACCAGAGAGGACAATAATGAGTCCGAGGGGATTGAGACAATAACAAATGGCCCCGTGCCAAGAAACATTCACTCTGATTGAAAGGGGATAGAACATGGCACAATATGTTAAAGTTTTTGATCTCATTTTTAGTCGAATGAGAATAAGATTCATCGATCGGTGAGATATACGCGTTATGATTTACGATACTCTACTACTTCTCCAATTATTATATCTACATCATCGCTTTCGTATAGGTTTTAATGATGTCACACTACTATTTTGGTTGTTTAATAAGATTAAAAATAACGTATAGAAATTTTGAGCCCTAATGATAAGTTGTAAAGTGGAATACGATACATCTTTCATTAAAAATGTTGTTAATTACGATAGTTACGGGTTTAATTAAGCTTATTTCAGCAGTAAATTTATCGTACTATAAATTTGAAAATATGAAACTTTATAAAAATTTTTAAGTTATTTTTAAATTAAAAATTTAGAGATGATATTATTATATCAACGTGTAAATATTCGTTAAAAATTTATATAAAAGGAAGTAAATGATAGAAATGTTCTAGAGTCCTCGAACTCCTTGTAGTGGGGATGTAATATAAACTCGTGCTTTTTAAATATTTAGCCAAATATAATAGTTTTAATATAATTAAAATACGAGAGGAATTATTTATGACCGAGAAGACATGTAAAAATCTAACAGGAAAAGAGATGTTGAAGTAAGAGGAAATTAAGGTAGTTGTTTTAATGAGAGAAACACAAAAGTCAACATAATGAAAAGCAATAGAAAAACAACCTAATGAATCTTAATCCAACTAAAACAATCACTTATCTAGATTAAAACACTATTTGATTTAAAATACAACGTTGTATAACGTATATCAGGTTACATACAATCATTTTTACAGGCTTTATTACGAAAGGGGGGAAAAATCCTTAAAAAATTTTAATGTAAACTCTTTGAAAATCAAAAAAGAGAAACAATTTCATAAAAATCCGAACTCGTTTTACAATACATCTTCAATAAATAACTAAGAAGTTTTTATGGGAACGAGTCGACATACAAAAAAATCATATAATAATAATATTTCCTACGTAACACTGTTGCCGTATGATATAAGATGGGAGTACAATTTATTATTATTTTTTTTTTCTTAAAATATCTTTTCCCTCTTCCTGATATCAATTTAACTGCAACGAATACTAAAATNTTTGTTTTTTAAAAAAAGCGCTTGACAAACTTGCCCCGCATGCCGAAGTTGCCCCGGTCTCCCCTAATTGATTTTTTTGTTATTAAATTGCACTTATTTTTGATTTTTTGCGCTAAGTAATCTATCTACTTCGTGAATAATCTATTTGTTTACACTATACTAATAAAATCTACATAAAATTTTGACTTTTGTGAATATGAAAGTCACGTAATTTAGTGATTTTGGAAAATTTTTTAATGGTTTTGGAAGATTTTTTATGATTTTGGAAGACAAAATCGTCTAAAAAAATCTATAAAATATTTTCTTAAATTAATAATAATATATAAAATCATACATTTAGCAATTCATAGCTACTGAAAGGTTGTATACTTAATATTTATGGGAAAGATTTGTTCACAAGTATTTAATGACTCTTTATGAGGGTGACTTTATTTATGAGAATTTATATACCGAGGTTTGCCCGTATATTCTTTTATAATACGTTAAAATAATGCAAAAAAAATATTACATACAATAACTTTTGCACACAAGATTAGACCTTATTTTAAATTTGTAAAACTTTAAAATTATAATATTTATAAAAATAGCATAATTATAATAAATCAAAATGTCATAGATCTTTTAATTATTCACAGTAATAATCACAAGATATTTCTCTAAGGATTAGATTCCCTCGTCCTTAAAAATGTCAAGCGTTATAATTATTATAAAGAATACAAAATGTTATCATATGTGAGTGTGATCTGTCATATTTTTATCGTAGAAAATTTATTATATATTAATTCAAAATGATATACTTTTCATGAATTAGTTATTTGTATCTTATAACTTTTAAAATTCTATTCATTCAAAATTAATTATTTAATAAATATATCTAAAAGTTTAGTGTAATAATTTTGAATTTTTTCCGATTATTAATAATTTATTACCGTATTAATTTATTAAATAAGTTATTTATTACGAATAAGTTATTTCACCTTTAAGATTATCTTTGATATTAAAAGTTTTTCTTTCTATTCTACTTAGCTCTTGCATTTGATTCTTTTCCTTCATAAAATCTAATTTTCTACTCCATTCAGCGCTTAAATTCTGTTGGATCATTTCTCCATAATGGAACCAATGCTTCTCGAGCAATTAACTTTTCTAATTGGGATATAGAAGTAAGAATAAAAGAAACATTTAAAACAAGATCCACAAAGTGATCGAAAGCAGGGCTTAGCAACTTCATCCTTGTTCGTAATAACAAAGCTCTTCAATCACAGCTTAACCTCTTATCTTTCAGAACACCTTAGACGTTTAATCACCTTTTCTTCCATTTTGTTTGGTCGTAATGTGGTTAAGTGGCAGAACAATTAAGATAAAAGTGTCAGCATTCGCTAGTCTAAGACAACTCCACTTTGAGAACCTTATTTTTGGCTCCTTCATCCTTTCCTTATAAGAGATCTATAACTGAATTCAACTTCCTGCTAATATAACCCTATAATAGTATGTTCATAAATATACACTGTGCCTCTAACAAAAATTGGATATAGGATACAATGGGTGAATGAAAAGTAGAAGTAAATCTCCAAAGTCAACAGTAGTGAGGTCAGTTTGTTTGTTCAACATTTAACATTTGTTTCTTCTTCTATTTAGTGCAGATGGAAACAGAAAATACAGCCATTTGTCTGTTATTTGCACAAATTATAAACTAAATTAGACATTCGTATTGATTTCAGCATTAAATTTGAATGATACCGATCTTACTCCATTTTCTGTTATTTATCTGTTATTTACAGTTCACTTAAATAACAGATTTAATTTTTTACGTACATTATTATAACATTTATTTTATTATTAACACATCTACTAAATTTCATTTATAAATTATGCTTCTGTGTAATTTAACGTTAATTATTTTTAGTAAACATTTTTAAAAACTAATACCTTCTTTAAAAATTCTCCTCTCTTTATTATTACTCTTTTATTATTTATAATTATATTTTTAAATTAAAAATACATA